ATGCATTTATGCATTCTCATGTTGCTTGTTGCTTCCTGTTCCTGTTGTCCAAGGACAAAAGCATTGTCCAGCTTTGGGAGATGGGGTATTTCGTCATGAATGTTGACAGGGAAGAATCTTTCCAATAAAACATGGCAAATGTATGGGGCAAATGTAAAGGAGTTTTTGTAAGACAGCCCTGCAATGCATTTTACAACTGTCTGCATTTGGAGCACTGAAAATCCATTCGGGCTGGGTGTTAGCATAGACCAGGCCTCTGATACGGACCGGCAATAAATGGTGATAAGAAATGCTTTCCGGAGCGGTGGTGGAGAGGGGAAATGATGCAAGACAGTAGCCCTTTGTTTAAAAAGTTGCTCACTTGGGTCCGTGCCATGGAGTTTTCAAAATGAGTGTGGCGAGCCGATTCACACTGAAAGATTTGGCCAACTGCAGGGCCATCTCTGTGTCTGGCCTTCCTTATTTCCCACTTTTTCTTAACTAAGATGATTTAAGATTATTCTACATTATATTTAAATGTATACATTTAGCAGATGTGTCTATCCAAAGCGGGCCAGCATGCAAGGTGTGCATTATTTTATTTTATTTTATTTTATTTTATTTATTTATTTTTAATATTCTCAAAATATTCTTGAATCAATATTCATTTACTTGAGAAGCAAAATGACTTAAGATATTACATTTTGTTAGCTTTTGCTTAAAACAAGAAAGAATACAGAAGAGAAATATAGAAGAAAAATAATCTTGTTTTCCCTTTGAATTTGAAAGTTTTTTTTTCTTGTTTTAAGCAAAAATTAATTTAGATAAATTTTTTCAGAAAACAAGACTTTATATCTTAAGTCATTTTGCTTCTCAGGTAAATTCATCTTTATTCAAGAATATTAAGATATTTGTACTAGAAGTGGAAAATACCAAGAAGTAAGAATACTAAATACTAAGTTTAAAACATTTTTTTTTCTTAAAGAGCTTTAAATCATGAAAAATTTGATTATTTCTAACATATTATTACAGAAAGTGGTGACAATTTACTTAAAGGTCCCCTGAAATGCTTAGAAACACGCAGCGTTACTCTGTGTTGACGTCATTTGAACTGAAACAGGAAGACAGGGCGGGACATATCAAGCAGCCCCGCCCCTTTTTTAAATAGCCAATAGCATTCATTTATATCACAGCTTGGGCTAGAGCCCTTCAGAGCCGTTGAGCTCCGTAAAGCCGCATTTGACAGGGTATGCCAGCCACAATCTCATCCATATTGCTATAAAATATAGCATTCTTGCATTGTAAAGGGTTATTAAAGGGTATAATGCATTATAATTATTCATAATGTGAGTTATAATACATTATATCTTGTCGTAAATAATTATAACCAAATTTAAAATGCAGTGTAACAATACATGTATGAGTGTTATAATGTATTAACTGTGCTTACAACTATTCATGAGATTGTAGAATGCATTATAAGGTGCATTACAAGGCATAATTATTGCATTAAACTACTTTTATAATGCTTTATACATAAAGGCTTTAAGTAAAATGCTACCCATAAAGTTATTCACATAGAAAATACTCTTCTGTTTAACTAAAATGGATTTTAGCTGTGTTTGCATAATGCATAGCAATGGCCACTCTGGCAGGTATAGGAAGTCTAGTATAACCTTGTTAAAACACATCAAATGATTCAAGGATCAGATTTGCACACACACACACATGAACCAGAGGACGTTCCATGAAGAGTTTAACCTCTCCATTTTGACTTCAGCTTTGCAAATCACTGAGCTTCACTCTTGTTTGCCTCTCTGGTGCATTGCATTCATATCCGAGCCTGGTGAGGGAGGGCTGGGGGCTGACAGAGAGATACAGAATGAGAATGAGAGGGGAGGGCATGAGTACAGCACCAGATGTGCTCAGGAGTTTTGCAATATGTCATTTGCAAGAGGACATTTTCTTGAACCAAGTCAGCATGGATGAGTTCACTTCGGAAATGCGCAGGCTGAATTGTACAAAATGACTGGCCACATGACATAGCGAGAGCAGATGGCAGATAGAGCAGCGAGGAGAAGAGTTCAGGTCTTTGATGCATGCAGTGAGAGTTGGTTTAAACCAGGGGCGTCCAACCCTGCTCCTGGAGGGCAAGAGTCCCGCAGAGTTTAGTTCTTTCCCCAATTAAACACACCTGAACCAGCTAATCAAGTACTTAAGGATCACTAGAAACGTCCAGACAAGTACGTTTAGGGCGGGCTGGAGATGAAATCTGAAGGAATGGACAACAGAGTCTTCTGTACAGTGAACAGACTAATGCTGTTCAAATGGTGGGCAATTAAATGGGACAAATAAAAGTCCTGTAGACTTACACTGAAGAAGGAACCCAGAATGTCAGGAGCTAAATTCACATGCAACCAAATAATCCATTAGTAATTGGACTGATGGCTCAGTTAGACTGAAATGCACTTCATGTAAACAATTCAATTGGTCAGATTCGATCCAAATAAAATTTTGATTGTATTGGATTGATATTCACAAATTAAACCTTTAAAAACTAAATACAGTCAGCAGGCTATATACTATATCACAGTATCGACTCTTTTAGTCTTTATTTAAAAACATTTTCCCTGAAATTTTGATTTAGAATAGTTTGCAAGATTGCGATAAGAACACAGTAAAGTGAGTAGATGAGTTAACCTATTCAACGTGATGACGTTTAATGTCACTGACAACATCTGTAGTCCCATTTAGCCACTTGTTCGCAACCAACAAGGCAAGTAAAACTTTAAAACAAGGGGGTATTACTGATGTATTTTGTGTCATAGAATAAAACAAGTTTGTGCTAACCACCGACCTTATTTCTGGCGTTTAACACACACACAACATTGACTTCAGCACAAGTGCTACACTCTAAAAAATGCTGGGTTGTTTCAACTCAACTTTGGGTCAAATATGGACTAACCCAACCGTTGGGTTACATTTTTACATTAAATTTTTAACCCAAAAGTTGGGTTAGTCCATATTTGACCCAAAGTTGAGTTGAAACAACCCAGACTTTTTTAGAGTGTACAATGTGATCTTGTTTCCATCCTACCAAAAAAAATGGCATCCCTGCAGCAGTCTGTCTCACAGTAGCTCTGGTAACATTATCACACTGGCTTTCTCTGGTTCTAAACACAGCAACAGGGCAGTAAACCTACGCTTTCTTCAGAATGCATGTAATGCACATGTAAACAAACATGAATCGGATCGCAATGTTTAGGGGTTCATATAAATAGAATGTGAAATCAGATCGGATTCGTGAAAATGAGTACATGCAGACGTACCTATAGAGACTTGGAGGTGGGCTCTGTTGACATGGGCCAATATGAAAGCACCTAGCAACTACCCAGAATAGCCTAGAGAACCCTAGATACTACCCAGAAGACTATAGCAACCCATTAAAACCCACTCCAAATACATCGCCACCACATACCCTGTTGAAAAAACCAGCATATGCTGGTTTTTTCAACAGGGTAGCAACGCCCTGGCAATGACTTACAGCATTCCAGCAGCATAACAGTGATTTTTGCACAAGAAAGAGGCACACTCAGATTAAATTTAGAAAATGGTAATTGATTAATTGATTGAAGTCAGAATTGATTGAATGCCAAAATATAGTGGTTTTGAATGGGTGACATTTACTTTGACTTTTCCCCACCCAAGAAGAAAATAAACATAAGAAGAGATTGGAATCTTTCAAACAGAGATTTTGTTGAGGTCACATTCTGATTTTTATAGCTCATGTACGTAGGTTCATAGGTGAACGTACTTGTGTGAGTGTGTTTGGATCGATGTCAACAGATTCATGGGTGTGTGAGTCATCCAGGTTTGTAAAGATTTTACGTGAGCTGCAGCCCCAGATCCTTGAGAGCCAATATCTTGACACAAGAGCAGTCTCATGTAAAGTAAGAGCCTCTCCCTGTAGCCAGGGGTCTGTGCAGGAAACCAGGACTGCACCTCGTCCTCCATGTGCAAAGATGATTTAGGGACACTCAGAGAGATATTATATACCTGCAGAACATGGTTGCATTTATGTTTTAACTCAAAATATTATATCTGCCCTTTAGCATCCAATGGCCATATATTTCAGTTTCGGAGGTATTATTATATGAAAAATATATATGAAAGCATTGTTTTATGATGTAACCATAGGGGTATTATTTAAAGCACTAAAATACTGTATCTGAATGGTTTACACCCTTAAATGATAATTTCACAACCCTCTGAAGTACTTAATTCTGACTGGTCACTTTTGGGATTCAATGGCATATTTTTGTGCAGTAATTACTAAAATGTGTAACTATCTATAGTGCCAGGAAAACAATTCCATACATAGCTTCAAGTTTCATAACTTCATCGAGTGATAAAAAGATTTAAACTAATATTTTATGTCCATTTATTTGGAAATTAGACAGCTCATCTACAATATTTCTTAATTGACTACATTACGTTTGTTTTTGTTTTTTATTTGAATTTGACCAACAAATGCACTTCATAAAATGATTTTCTTACTTAGTATTTTTGTATTGTTTTCCATAACAGATATCTAAACATTCTTAAATCAAGATACATTTACTTGAGAGGCAAAGTGACTTAAGATATTCGGTCTTGTTTTCTGAAGAAAATATTTAAATTTTGTTAGTTTTTGCTTAAAACAAGAAAACGTTATCTGCCAGTGGGGTCAGGAAAAATAATCATGTTTCCCCTTTGAATTAAGATGACTTTTCTTACCCCATTGTCAGATATTTTTTTCATGTTTTAAGCAAAAACGAATAAAATTGATACATTTTTCACAAAACAAGACTTAATATCTTAAGTAATTTTATCTTGATTCAAGAACGTTTAGATATTTGCACTAGAAAACAAGTCAAAAATACTAAGTAATATATTTTTTTTCAGTGTGTCTTAAATAATCATATTTTCCAATAGCATGTACTGTATGAATGCAGGGGACACTGAAGACACAACACACAGAGTTTTATATTTAACAATATATATTTTCCAATTTCAATGTACATTCCGTTTTGACATAAGCTTTTATTCACAAACAAAAGTAGGCATCTAAATAAATACTATATAAAATAGAACTTCAAAATAAATAGATCTATAAAGGGACATTTTCATATGTGTGAGAGATTTTTTTTTTGCTTTTTGCTTTTTTAAACAAAACAAAAGCACATTGCTCTTTTCTTTAATCCTCAACATGAACAATGAAGCCAAAGTAACGCAGAGAGTACAAGCCCAGTTTGGAAGGCAGCTTAAAGTGGGTTAAAACACAAGAATGGGTTTCTAGTGGCCAAGAAACTGTACCATGAATAGATTTAGTCACAGCGTCCTGATGACAACATCTCAGCAACGGGTCAACAGAAGGAAGATCGTTCAATTCCATCGTGCAGGCCAGGATATTAGGCGAACAACCATAAAGTTTACATTTTACAGCTGTATCGTTCTCCGTAGTTGAGAGAATTGTGAAATACGAAAAATAAAAGCGAGAAGGTGGGGCGAAAAAGCAACACCGAATAGGATGGAATGGAATGTTACTTGAGAGGGATCCCCGTTCCTCCCAGACAAGTTCACACACAGCAGCTGTATATGTCAATCAAGCACTGAAGATGTTGCACCATTTTAGGAGGAAGGAGGAAAAACAAAATGTTTGGCCACATTGGGATGAAAAAGCGTTACTTTGAGCGTGACGAAACGCCGTTCCCTCTGCAAATTCAATTAAATCTACAGTTTCAGGGGCACTGAGGAACCGGGAATTAGCCGTGCCTCTCTCGTGCTGATGAGGCATGGCTAGCATTAACAGAGGTATTTTTATTGCCTGGCACACTTTTCTAAATCAAGTGCTTGTAATCGAAATACCTAAACACCCTACCTTCTATGCCACAGCCACATAATCTTTACCCCCACCCGCCCCCAGCCCTCCCCAAAATATAATAATTAATTTATATACTTTTGTACTGAATTGTAATTAAATTGTACCATGCAATTTCTCAGGACATTTGAAACATATAGCTAGTTTTTCTTAAAACTATTTACAAGAACGTGTAACCTGCATAGGTCGAAGTCTAAGATATCTATGGTACATTTGCAACTCTTCCCTATGCAGCTACGCAAGCTTCTCCATTCAGAACTACTCTGGCACCTATCCACGGGTTAGATTGCAAAAAGACTTAAACCCTAGCCTTATACATTCAAGACTAAGAACAGTAGTGTATTTCTGCTTTTCGGATTTGTGCAACAAGTACAAATGTTGGAGTATGTGGGACTAAACGAGCGAACCGTGGGTTTGTGTCGAGCAAGCCGACAATTTTCCCTCGTGCTCCCAGACTCTAGGAATCCTGGGAAGTAGAGCACCGTACCTTTAAGAGCTTACTTTCGCACTAATTGGCTAGAGTACAACAATGCATGCCCACTTGGAAACAAACGGTTATAAAAATGGTCAACGAAATCTCCATGGCGCACTCCTTTGGCAAAATCTCTATACTATACATATAACAAAATATATATGTGGAGAAAGCAGTTCGATACTAGGGCACGTCCATAGAGCGTTAAGTTTGGTGCGTAGTAAACTAGAGGAATTTTTCCAACTACAGTGAAACACTTTGTACATGCTACTGTACATAATACTGTGCTTTTGCCTCATTATAATGGTGATACGATTGGCAAGTTTTGTTTAGAAGCGGCAGAGTAGTATACGCTAACTTTATAGCTTCTCCTTTTCCCGTAACTACTGGCCCGATCCTCCTGGTAGCTTATGAATGCTTGGTGTCTGAATTGCTGTGTTTTGACCACTGCCCGTTCCCTTAACTCGAGTCACCCGACTAGTTCCAAGCTGAATTCACATGCTGTACGTAATTCAGATGAACTGATGATCCCTGAGGTCATTGTCTACAACAAATTGAACCGCTAACATTTGGAAGAATCATTATGGAAGTTTATGTATACTATGGCATGTTTTCAAAGGGAATTATGAAAGCTATTTTACCCATTTGCCATCAAAAACAAACAATCTGTCCCCATAGAAGATAGAAAACATCCCGTCACGTGGCTACGGGCGGTCACCAATGTCTTTCGCAACGGTCAAGGGAACTTAGAATCCTTCAATGAAACCAAATGACCTCCCGTGTTTGCATTTCAAACAACAGAAGAAATAAAGCTCTATAACAAGCTTGTAAATGTACTGTGCACAGAGATGAAGTCTGGTTATTTTGATTGTGACATGTGTTATCAGCTTGGAATTCGCTGCAACCTTTCCGCAGTGCCAGATCCGGAGAGGGATTGCCAAAGTATAGAGTGTTCTTGAATGGGTGATATTTACTTTGACTTGTCAAAGCCGCCCAAAGAGAAAATAAACATCAGAGAAGAGATTGGAATCTTACAAACAGACATTTTGCTCAAATGCAAATGCATTCTGTGTCAGCAAGTTGTTTTACTAGGGGGTGAAATGGCAAAGACTTTGATCCCACGGCCATCACGAGAACCCCAGGAGAAGAAAACGCAGGCCTCTCCTTTGTTGTAGTACTTTACGAATGAGTAAAATAATGATTTGTGCCCTTTGGTCAGTCAAACGTTGCTACTGATTTACGGCAGGATGCCTTGAGCGCGAGGATCATGCGTGAACTTTAAGTACCGTGATTTTGGGAAGTACACCGCTATCGGAGAAGGTCTTGCGAACTTTGCTCGCGAGTCACTTTGTACTGTCCGTTTCTGGCACGCCATCATGAGGCCTGTTTTTCCAGATGACAGGCCTTGACCTCTGCCACCTTGCAGGGCTGGGTGCTTTTGCAGCGGCAGCCTGGGCGGCTTATGCCGTCGTAGCACTTCTGCGAAAGCTTGGCGCAACCAGTGGCGGGCAAATAACACATCAGGCAGGGCAGCACCAACGAAACGGCCGCCATGAAGGACCAGCGCGCGCAACAGTTCGAGTGCGAGCAGGAGCACGGCTTGTCAGCGCAGGAGCCTTCCTCGTCCTCATCAGTGCAGTGGTAGAAGACGCCCTTGACTAGACACATGCAAGTGACAGAGTCCACTAGGTTCTTCGCTGAGCACAGGCACTCTTGGTTGCAAACCCAACACGAGGGCAGGGCCCGGGGCAAAGTGCACTCCGTGCATCGGCATTTGCTGCATTTCTCACACAGCGGCGCGTGCTTATTCTCCACTGGCAGTGCCGCAACCGCCTTCACATTCTGAGTCTTGGAGCTCAACGCCTTGGATTGCTCTGCACCTAGGGTCCTGCCGTGGCCATTGCCAGTAGTGTACGGATCTACAACAGGGGTGGGAGCTGCATGGTCCAGCAGCTTTTGGTCGGAGGAGGTGCTGCTGCTGCTGCTGACGGAGCTGGGCCGACCACTGAAGGAAATCCAGGGATGTGTGGTGGCATCTGGGACCTCGCAGCGGGGCAGATGAGGATGGTGCGGGGCTCCCAGCAGGACTTCCTGCCCCCTCGTGCTTGCCTTGTGGCTTGGTTGTGAGATCACAGCAGGGGTGTCAATGTAGTCATTCTCCAAATGTAAAGATTTCATTTGGTCAATGGGGTAAATAGTTAATGGGTGCTGGAGCCGTCCGTAGGGAACGCGGCTGTCCAGCAAAGGCTGCACCATGATGGAGGAGGAGACTCCAGGAATGTAGTGAGGAACCCTTGACTCCATCTGTAGGTTGTGTTCCTCATATACCAGAGCTCAGGTCAGCATTTAGCACTCCTGCAAAGACCACAGCACAGCTTAGTACTGAAAACCACCCACACAGAATTCTGATCAGATAACCTAACGATCGGTTTGTGTGGAAAAAGACCACAAATACATCTAAAATGGGCCCTTTGCATAACAGAGAAAATTGCATGTGTAACATTGTTAGGTATATTTAATTATAACTCATTATTAGGATTTCAAAAAGGAACCTGTATAAACGTTCACTTCCACAATCAGATGTATTAGTATTAAGCACAAGCCTGCACTAGTGTTCTGATGGGAGGGGTTTATTCTGAATAAAGCAAATATAAAGTAGATTAACCTAGGATTAAGATTCACAACATTTCTTAAACAATTAAATTACAATTCACAACTCTGATGAAGTTAGATTAGGAATATTACAGTTAAATGGACGCTATTAATTGAGTTTTATAGGTAAAATACTCTCCTAAACGCAGCTGCACGTTTTAAACAGTTAATCCAGTGAAATGTTTTCGTTGTACGGTCCTTTAAAATGTTACACAGCCTATCTGTTCGCTACAGAAGGCTGAAGAAAACTGTAGGCTATATGATATGACAAATATCAACCTGTTGCTAGATTTCTGCGTGAGCTATGTAATATATTGAAGTTGCGTTGCTTCTGTGCTTCTCTTGTACGCAAGCCTGCAGCCTCTAAAGCAGTGTCGTCTGAAACGACGATTTATATGTTGGCGTGCCACAATTACAGTTTCATACAAAGCAGACCAAATTCAAACGGCGTGTTTAACAAGAACCATTACATATTTACCAGAATCTAAAACCCCAAGGAACATAAATACAGCAATGTCTGACTAACGTCTCTGACTGATCTCCATTTAGTGCTAAAACGGTTTTAATGCTTAAGATGAGCTTCAGTGCTTCGAGCTGCAGAGAAGCGTCACGCGATGGTATTAGATAGAACGCGAACAAACGCGGATCATGATACGCAACACGAAATAGCCTTCTGTCGCTTCCCCGGTCGAAGGAAACGACGCGTATACGGTTAACCTCGAATTCTCACCTGTTCTACGTGTACATTTCATTCTTAAATCGCCCACGATCCTGTCGTGGTTAGTTACCGTAGTTAAATATTTACACAAGGCACAAATACACCTACAATGCGTAGCTAAAGAACGGCTGTATCGGCGCTTTGTGATAAACCAGCAGAATGGAAACGACTCGATTTGAAGCAAGAATATAAACTCCATGTTATAGCGTTGTCCTTGACACTTGGATACATTTACAAAAAAAAATATTTATATATATATATACACACAAACACGGATATATTTTTAAGATAAATGAAAAACTCACTTGCATTAGAAAACAGATCATTTCTTCTCAGATGAACAGAGTGTTGCGATATATTCCAATACCAGAGAGAGAATGATAGATAGATCCAAACGAAGCCACGAAGAGGAAAAAAATCCGGACGACTATCCGTGCGATGTGCACTGCAGTAAGGACAGTCTTCTCCATATGATGTTGCAACTACATGAGGGGAATTGCTTTTTATGAATGGGAGGGTAAGAAACGTACTGCGCAGATGCTTTGACAGGGTTTTTTTTGTTGTTTTGTGAATGGGAGGGCATTACGACTCGGGGGTTACACTTTTATGAATGGGAGAGCTCCGGATTTTACTGCGCATGCGCCGTTTCAAGATTTCATGAATGGAAGAATGGGGACTTTTCGTCACAAGGGCAATGTCAAAGCGGATTACATGAAGAAGGCGGCTACTACTGCTTTAATTCGTGTTTTCTATACATTGCCTTATTCGTGCGTGTCTTCCAAAGGTCCTGACCTGTTACGGTATGGAAGCGTAATCATCTTGAAAGGAAATTTAAGGCAACTGCGCATTTACTGGACAGTTTGAACTTGCTGCTGGGGTCATGTGTTATTTTTGATATGACGCAGTGGATATATGAAATTGCACGATAACGTTTTAGTCCAAAACACTTTTGAGTTTCATCACCACGGGTTAATTTGTAAGCCTCGAGTGGCGTGCACTTTATCCTCATTTTGGGTATTCAGAAAACATGTAAGGAACGATAGGTCTTGCTTAAAATGGAAGGGGGAAAAGATAGCGTGTGAGATAGTTTGCATTTAAGCGGTCCCATTTTGATTTCTCATTTCCAGTTTGGCTGCACTGGAGTAGCAAAAACACGTTTATGACGCAGCAGCATGAGGTCATGCAGGATCAACAAAAGAACAGGATGTTGTCGATTTGTAACGATCCCACAAGCAGGAAATGTGTGTGAATATCCTTTATAGCACCCCTCTGTCTACCCTTCCCCCCACGGATAATTCCCAGCTTGTGGCTTGACTAATGCTGTCAAATGTTAATGGGCAGCCTCTACCTTAGCACACATTTCCATGACAACATCTGCTTTCATATTAAAAATACAATCACATCATTTGATGTGCTAAATTTAGGAGATAAATGGTTTCATTATTATAGCTTTGTTGTATGCAATGTATACTGTGCTAAAATGTAACTCTATGGAGAAAAAAAAAATGAAAAAAGAAACAGCATAAAATACTTTTAGTATTGATTAGATGGCAACCTTGGGGAAGGAGACAGTGCTAAATATAGTAGCCCTACATGCACTCTTTGAACACAGTGTTTTCCATTTGGTGCAAATGACCACAAACTGAGAATAGGATTATCAAATGACTCAATTTAACATCTCCAATACACAATTTGTTCTATACCATGGAAATGGTTTCTGCCTAATGTCATATAAATCTAATGATAAATCACTGATGAATATGTTTATTTATTTATTTGTATTTATTTATTTCCTAGTGAAACATAAATATAGCCTACTAAAATATAGTTGAAATACATTTATTTCATGTTAAGTATACTACAAATGCATATTTATGTACTTAATAAAAATGCAATGCAATTGTACTTTTAGTATACTAAACTGGTATACTAAACATACTTTAGTATGCTAAATTGGAACAACTGATTTTGTGCTTAATGCACTTTAATTGTGCAAATGTAGTGCTGAAGTCTAACTAAAGATATACTGAAGTATATTTGATTGTGCTCAAGTTGAACTATTGCAAGTATACTTTAAGTACACTTTGAATATATTGCATTTAAAGACTGATATTATGCAAAGATCATATAATCCTCATCAGTAGTGACATTAAAACACATTTTAGGCTTAATATTAAGAAATGTGCATTGTGCACCTCCAAATAAGTACTCCAAATAAAGTTTAATTGGAATTGTTGTATCAGTAAGTCTCGCGCGATATCAGTAAATATGTTAATAGATTTGAACTTTACTTAGTGTGAAATAAATGTATTTTAAATGTATTACTTTTTACTAAGGTTGAAACTTTGTTTTATTTTTTTTTTTTTAATATTAGATGGTTAAGAGATTTATTTATTTATTTATTTATCTGTGCAAGCAGTTACGGTTCATAAATAAAGCATTTTAAATTGGATTGTAGTTTGTATTAAAAAAATTAAAATTAAAAATTAAAAGTCAAAATTAACAACCCCACTGTATTATGCATAAAGTTTAATCACCTTCCTAAATGCAAAAAACAAATACTTTAAGTATAATTTTTCATGAATGCTCAATACTTTTACTTAAATATGTCCTGTTGCTTTCAGGCCAGACTAGCGTGGTGACCTGATTTAACAAGCAGCAGCCTGTGGCCAATTGGGGGGTCCCTCAGTTTCAGGCCAAGCCCACAGGAAGGAGCTTGTGTGAGGGATATATGCGGAGAATGCAAGCCTTTGGAGATCTGGGCCTATGTGGGAAGAAGGGGTAGGCCCCTTCTGGTCCCCTGCTGATACAGAGGGGAAAGCCGAGCTCTTGGTGAGATGGTGACCCTCGACCCTTCTTCAGAGAATTGACAGGAGCGGCCCTGAACTCTCACCCATGGGACAAACTAGCGATGAAGCGTGACCTGTTGCTGGGGGCGTGGACCTGCCATTCAGGCCACAAGAATTCTGGGCATTCCACGCGCCATTCCCCTTACATAGCAGACTTCCCCCTCCCATGAGAACCCACACCAGTACCCCGTTATCCAAAACACAAAAAAGCCATCACAAAGTTCCAATTACTCACCATCAGTGCAAGACACGGTTACCTAAATTTCCACATACAAGCCTTTATAGAGAAAAAAGCAAGAAAAGAGAAATAAACATACGAAATCGGTACCAGAAAGGATACTCAGCCTCTTTATGTGTATGTATGTGTGTGTGTGTGTGTGTGTGTGTATGTATGTGTGTGTGTTTGCATACATGACAAGTCCCCACTTCCTGTGACAGCAGCTGGTTCTCGGCCTGCAGAACTGGATAAAATCAAAAGAAATGTGTGAGGCCTGTAATTACACGTCGACTGTTCCTCTTGTTAAACAACCTGATCTTATCTATAAAGTATAGCAGCATCTAGAGTTTACTTAGTGCTTAGTTTTCTTTGACCATTTTTATTGACGTTATATGTTGTATATATATGTGCTCTGTCAGGCTTGAGTAAGCAGTTATACATCTGACCATAATGCCATTCAGTGCGGTTGGGTGGCAAAGTATGAGGTCAACCTTCGTGCTGTCCTCAGCGCTCCTTGTTGACATGAGAATGCCTGACCTTCATTAGTAGTGCATCATGGAGTCACTAACAGCGGGAAGCTATATTTGAGACCTGAATCAGCAATGCTGCCCCAAGCAAAGCACAGTGGATCAGCATTATCCATCCCAAGGAGGCCTTTGTTGACAAGCTATCGGCTAAAATAAGCTCCAGCCGGGAGGAGGCACACATCCCCATCAGCAGCCCACTTCCTGTGAGACAGCAATTTTCTGAAGCTTGTACACATCCCCGGACGTTACTCTAGTTATTTATTTGTTCAACATTAATGATTAATGAGAAGGAGGGCTTTGAGTGTCAGTCAGTGAAATAAGATTAGGAAGTTAAGATATGAATGAAGTGCTAACCTCCAGTGATATCCGCATCATTTGCGCCCTTAGGAATTTGTTACATTTTTCGTAGTGTTCTGACCCGAAATCCTCTATATGTCCAGGGGTTTAGCTGCTTCTCTAGCATTTCCATTTTGTTAATTAGCCCTATTGTCTGCATATCAATCAGATTAGCTCTGGGGGATCTAGGTGGAGGGTGCTGAGTAGAGCAAGTTTACCCAGGAGGAAGTACGGGGCTTTGATCTCTGCTAATGAGCTGCCAATACCGCCCTCAAGGGTTACTTCCTGGGGCCAGCTGGAAGCCTGCAAGTTAGGCCACCTGAAACAACATGTACTGTTTCCCTTTCCAAGTGCCCTCACCCCACCTGCCCTTCCCCCATTTTTCAATCAATGGTAACCCTTCCCCCAAATTGAACTCTGTGATAATTGGAGATAGAGGTGGGCTACAGTCACCCAGGGTTCTATTGTCCCCAGTGTATTCATTCACTCTCTAGCCAGACTAGTGGCCTGATGGATGTTCTCGGTGACACTTAGCTTTATTTAAATCAACTTTTCCTTTTGGGAAGTGACAGATGTGACATTCAATTTGTTCTGTCACTTTCCTCAAGCCAAGTCAGATGTTTTGAAAGTTTGAATTTGAATTATGAAACCCTTCCGCACAGAACTTCCTAATTTCAAAACCAGACGTCTCCAGTCTTTGTATACAGTTTGTCCATTACGCAAATTCACAAATGGAGGATGTAAGTTTGATGTACACTCTATTTCAAGATGGTTTCACAATAACACATCATGTAGAACATTCGGTCTGATCATTTTCGAAAAGCCGCGCCTGGAATGTCCAAACAGGAGTTTGTGATTCACATCCCTTAATCCTCACCACTTCCAGTAAACCTCTCACCTCTGGGTATCCTCTCACTCCTTTGTGACCGTGGGAGAGGGTTGAAACAGAAAGCTCAGCCAATCCTCAGAAGCTCTGTTTCACATCCATTCTCTTCCTTGATCCAGCTCAGGTACCTGCAGTCCTGGGAAAGAAGCGACTGGCCATGTCTTTCCCCACTGGACATTGAGCCATGCTGAGGTTGATGGCGAGCACACAGCAGCCCCTTTGATGGGCGTGGGGACAGGGCGACACGGGACACTTCCTGGGCTGAATGGTGCCCTGACACTCGACACCTGGGACAGCGGCGCTCCGACGCTGGCCTAGTGCCAACCTCAACGAGGCACCTTTGTGCTCCTGGGCTCAGTGACCTATCCGGAAAGATCTCTCAGTGCTGGTTCCCATGCATCACTCCACTCTACTTCACACTGCCTTTGTGCCCAACTGGCTCGGGACTCTCCTCACTTCCTTTCGCCTTGATCCAGGCTGTAATTGCTTGGTCCTAGTGAAAAGCAAGTATGAATTTGAAAGGAGGGGTCTAACCTTTGCTTTGCAGTAGCCTTGTGGATCAGGCCACTGAATGCAGTTACTTGTACATGTAAAACTGTTCCCCGGGATTAATTTGAAGGCATTGTTCAAACACGGGCTATCTGGTGTGCCACTGTCTTTACTGCTGCTC